GAAACCCTGTCTCCACTAAAAATACAAAAATTAGCCAGGTGTGGTGGTGCAGGCCTATAATCCCAGCTACTCTGGTGGCTGCGGCAGGAGAATCACTTGAATTCGGGAAGCAGAGATTGCAATGAATCAAGATTGTGCCACTGCATTCCAGCCTGGGCAACAGAGCAAGACTCTGTCTCAAAAAAAAAAGAAAAGAAAAGAAAAGAAAGAAGGAAGAGAGAAAAATACCTTGTTGGCCGGAGTAGCTTGGTTAAATCTTAAAAAAAAAAAAAAAGGTACCTTGGGAGGCCGAGGTGGGCGATCAGGAGGTCAAGAGATTGAGACCATCCTGGCCAACACGGTGAAACCCCATCTCTTCTAAAAATATAAAAGTAGCTGGGCATGGTGGCACATGCCTGTAGTTCCAGGTACTCAGGAGGCTGAGGCAGAAGAACCACTTGAACCAGGGAGGAGGAGGTTGCACGGAGCCGAGATTGTGCCACTGCACTGCAGCCTGGTGACAGAGCAAGACTCCGTCTCAAAAAAAAAGAAAACGGTACCATTGGGTATGAGCTTGAAGGAGGTCAGGGTTTGGAAAGTAGAAAGAACAGGGGGTGTGTATGGTAGAGGGTGGGGTGGAGAGCCACGGGAAACTGGTCTTAGCAGGGAACTTCCGCCCTGGAAACCTCTCAGTATCTGACATTCCCCAGCCCCCTGGGGGACCCACAGGTTGCCTTAGAACCCAGAATGAGCCCCCAAGAAGCCTTGCCACAGGCTCGGCAATGGGCCCCAAACCATGGGGTGGACTCTGCCTCATGGATACAGTCCCTCTGATGAAGTGTTGCTTGGGGAGCTTGGGCGCGATGATGACAGTGCCTGAGAGCTCTTGTGAGCTCCCCGAGAGCTGCAGGAGGAGGGTCTGGGACAGTCCTGGCAAGCTCAGGCAGAGCTTACAGGTGCATTCTGGCTGCTGGTTTAGGAAGAAACTTCTTTCCACAAGCCAGTGGTTAGGCCAGGTCCTTGTCAGTTGCACTGGATTCATACTGGGAGGCGGTGACTCCCAGGGTGTTCCCCACTTTCCTTAGCGCACTGGAGAAGTAACTCATTCAGGAGGATGGAGGGTCATTTGTATCAGGTTCCTCCCCTGCTCAAGAGCCTTCTGTGGATCCCCAGTACCCATCAGATCACAGTTCCTCGGCCTGATATCCAGAGCCCTCCATCATCTGATCAGCCTTTTCAGAGTCTAAAATGGGAAGAGACCTAGAAGTCATCTAATGTCATCTGAGCCTGTCCATCTTTTTCACAATAACCCAGAGAGGCTGCCTCTCTTCTGCATGTGTGTTTCTAATAATGAGGAGTTCTCTTTCATGAGACAGCTTTAAGTTCATCCAGAAACTGCCTCTCTGGATGGACTTCTGCCCATTGGTCTAGGTTCGAGCCTCTGGAGTTTTTCCTGCTTCCAGATGGTCACGCTTCAGAACATTGATGTTTCTCTAAATTTTCTTCAGACCTTAAATCCATTTCAATCCAGGTCACTGTCTTTTGGAAATGGTCCAGCTTGTTAGTTTCCTTCATAATGTATAAAACCTGAAACTGAATAGTGTTTCACGCATGGCCTTATCGGTGTAGAGAACTGAAACCATATGCTCCCTCATTCTAAACACTATACTCCTTTTAATGCATCCAGAGAGATCAGACTTGCATGTTCATCAACCATATCAAAATCTTGCTGTTACTAAGTTAGCAGCCAAATAAAACACCTTAATTCTTTTTTTTTTTTCTTTTGAGACAGAGTTTCCCCCAGGCTGGAGTGCAGTAGCACGATCTCCGCTCACAGCGTTCTCTGCCTCCTGGGTTTAAGCAATTCACTGCCCCAACCTCCCTAGTAGCTGGGATTACAGGCGCCCACCACCACGCCCGGCTAATTATTTTTGTATTTTTAGTAGAGACGGGGTTTCACCATCTTGGCCAGGCTGATCTTGAACTCCTGACCTCGTGATCCACCCACCTCAGTCTCCCAAAGTGCTGGGATTACAGGCGTGAGGCACGCGCCCAGCCAAAACACCTTAATTATTTTCACAAGTGCTGCTTTGAGTCACAGCTCCCCTGTGCCAGTGAGTTTAGGCCTAAGTATAGAAAATTTCCTTTATACCTACTAGATTTCTTCTTGTGAAGTTTAACCCATTTTTCCAGTCTGTGGATTCTGATCGTGTCTCTGTTACGTAGAGGGCCTTGTCTAGTGCCGAGATTGTGATCCTGAGCCTGAGCTCGGTCACACTGCAAAGTCTGAACCCCTGCCCTACCCTTGCTGATGTTACAGGCCTGGGCAGTTTACTTAGCAGTTCTTTATTTGTTTTTATTTATTTATTTTAGAGACAGGGTCTCACTCTGGTCCCCCAGCTGGAGTGCAGTGGCGTGATCATGGCTCACAGCAGCTTCAAACTCCAGGGCTCAAGTGATCCTCCTGTGATCCCTCCTGCCTCAGCCTCCCAAGTAGCTGGGACTATAGGCATGAGCCACTGCACTTGGCTAATTCTTTTTTTCTTTTTTTTTTTTTTAGGCCCGGCACAGTGGCTCACGTCTGTAATCCCAGCACTTTGGGAGGCCAAGGCAGGCAGATCACCTGAGGTCAGGAGTTCAAGACCAGCCTGACCAACATGGTGAAACCCCGTCTCTACTAAAAATACAAAAATTAGCCGGACGTGTGGTGTGTGCCTGCGGTCCCATCTACTGGGGAAGCTGAGGCAGAAGAATTGCTTGAACCCAGGAGGCGGAGGTTGCAGTGAGCCAGGGCCTGTCTCTTATACACATCTAGATGTGTATAAGAGACAGCCTCCCGGGTTCACGCCATTCTCCTGCCTCAGCCTCCCGAGTAGCTGGGACTACAGGCGCCCACCACCTCGCCCGGCTAGTTTTTTTTTATTTTTAGTAGAGATGGGGTTTCACCGTGTTAGCCCGGATAGTCTCGATCTCCTGACCTTGTGATCCGCCCGCCTCAGCCTCCCAAAGTGCTGGGATTACAGGCGTGAGCCACTGTGCCCAGTCCCCCCAAAAAAATTTAAATTAGCCTGGCGTGGTGGTGCCCACCTGTAGGCCCACCTACTTGGGAGGTGGAGGTGGGAGGATTGCATGAACCCAGGAGTTCAAGGCTGTAACAAACTATGATCGCACCACCACACTGTAGCCTGGGCAACAGAGCAAGACTCTGTCCCTAAACAAGATCATAAAAACCAGTCCTAGCTCGCAGGACACGCACAAGCAGGCAGAGGCCAGGTTTGGCTGGTGGGCGGTGGT